GTCGATATTGGTACTATTAGTAAAAAGATTCGTTGTCTTCATTTTGACATTTTCTTTAAAAACTTTTTGGAAAATGGATCCGTAATTTTTTATAATTTTGAAAAAAATTGTATAAAAAATTTCCAGGTTCTTGGTACCGTGACCTTCACACAACGGATACGTATATGCCTGATTGTAGCACACGAATTGCCGATTAAGGGTTATAGAACTATTCCCGATTTCATTTTTTTTATAAATGATTTCTATTTATGATGCGCTCTTTAATTTACAAGCAATTTACAAAAATGCAGATTACAAAAATACCTATATACTATGTTAATTAAGATCAACATAAGACACATTTTTTTAATTCCTACAATTTATCGGATAAAATAACGGTATGTCGAGTGATGCTGTAGATAACAAACCAATCGAATTTTTTTTCAACAATTGAGTTCTTTTCCGACAAGTAATTACTATATTAACATGCTCGCGGTTCTATAATGCAACTATTATGAGTATGCAGTTAGAGAAATAAACAAGACATCAGACAAAGAGTACCAAGATTGTGAAACCGATAACTATTGGTATCGATTATTCTTGAAACATTTTCTTATAAAATATATTTAGAGATCTTTTTTTTTTACTTATAACAGTTAGTCTCGAAGTATCATACAGATTATTATATATTCGTCATACCAAACATTTAGACCAAAACTCAGGGATATATATTTTGAAAATGCAAGTCATGCTATTATCGTGATTTGACATTCTTTTGTGGATTAATTTCAAGAATCATATTGTTCATTCACCCTTATTCATTTTCATAAAAAACGGCCACGTTTCATTCTTGACATTTTATCCGCTATCTGCCAAATTGCCGCGAGAAATTAGACATGGGCTTTAGAACCTATCTGTGCTTTATTAACAGAGGTTGTGACATATATGACGGAGACGATGATAGAGACGATGGTGGAGACGATGGTGGAGACGATGGTGGAAACGATGATAAAAACAGTCACAAGGACCATAATAAAGGCAAAGATAAAAATAACAAAAATAACATGAATGAACATAAAAATTCAAATTTTAGCGCTTCTGTTGATGAGAGTATGCCTCCACATACAACTATAAATTCAAATCTGATTACTTCGACTACTTCAATACCATCAAATCCTACAATAACATCGACTCCTACGAGATCATCGCATTCAAATCATTCAAATCTAATGGGTGCACACAATATAACTTCCATTCTGAAAAAATCAAATCCTACAAACTCACCTTATTCCAACCTAACAAATACACAATCTATACAATCAACTTCAATTGGACAATCCACACAATCTATACAATCTACACAACCAACTTCAATTGGAACGAAAGATCCAGCAGCAGATACGAAATCGTCAACAGACACAGATAAAATAACGGATCCTTTCGATCCAAGATCACCTTTTCATATACCGATAATTATTGGAATTATAATAATCATACTGATAGCACTCCTTGCATTGTACTTTGTACTAAAAAAAACGAGTTTCAAAAGACGATATAATTTATTCAACAAAGGGTATTATTCCGTGGGTGAAAATGAATTTGACATAACAAGCACATTCAATGGTGACGCAGGAATTCAATCACCAACCACCGCAATGACTTCTAACAGGAGTTCGATGGCACGAATTGACCAATTAATAAATATAGATTTAAGTGAAGATAATACTAGTAATAATACGAATGTACAAGACTTCACGGAGCCGGCTCGGAGGTCAAGTGCATTTTTAGATTATCCTGATGACTTTTATCGTTATTACATGGAACTAGGAATTGTTTCAGGGAATGTTGAACATGAAACTATTCAACGACCAGCTGCAACATTTAATATAAGAGATTATTATTAAAATTAAAGTTGTAAAAAAAGTTTAATGGCTTATTTCGTTTCAATGATTCTCTAGTATTTCTTTTAAAACGTAATTTAATGCAATCATTTTTATTCAACCTGACGATATAAATGAAAAACGGACTTAATCCTCTTGCAGAAAAATCCGATTAATATCATTAATCGAAACTCAAAAAACTCTATTGAGAATATAACAAAAAAAGTTAAAATATAGTTTTGTGTATAGTACCAGATTGCGGATTTCTGTTTCGGAATTTTTTTATACATGAAGTTTCAGATTTTGGTTAATTGGTATAGTTGTATATAATAAACATTCACGGCAATGGATTGATTGATGCACATGACTGGTCGTTTGCATCTAGGATATATGCGTAGTTGTTTTGCATAAATGTATCTATCACAAAAATGAATTCATTTTGTTATTAAATAAAAATAACTTGTTTAAAGTGATGATGCAAATTGATTTCTTTCCTATTACAATTTTATATAGGTATAGGCTTCTCAATAAAATAGAATCATAATTGTGTAATAATACTTGTCTAAATATATTAGCAAGTAAATCATCTACATTTAGTTTTTTGACATATTCTATACAACTTATTTCGTTTTTAGAATGCTTGTATAAAACTAGGTTTTTTTGTAAAGTACCGAGATATCCAAATAAAAAATTTGGAATCTTAAAAGTTTCCAGGTTTTCGTTCATAAAATATCATCTGAAAGATTTTTTTTTTTTTACAGTTAAATAAAAATGCTTTCATGATGTGTTAGTGTTGTTAGTTTGAAATAAAAAGTTTAGCGTTAGTTAAAATTTCCCAATTAGGTGATTGTTTTTTGCAGATAATGATTCTTTATTAGTAGTAGATAGCGGTATCTTTGATTTTAAATGAAGTTTATCAGGTTTAAGATATTTTTGAGATTCTTTTACACAGTGAACATTCGGCACCTTTCTAAAGCTATAAATTATATTTGTGCCGATTTTTTATTAGTAAAACGTTATGCTCAAATAGTATGTACTTTATAAAGTATAAATTAGTTACCCGAGTAATTGATTTGCATTAGTGATCTTCCCCTATCGCTATAACCGAAGTGGATTTCGCCCGGGTTAACATATACCCAGTAAATTAGTTACACATCTAAAATGCAGCTTTGATGGTTTCATACTTATACATGCTGGTAATATATTTTTATATTTAGACCATCAAACATTTCAAACCAATTTTTTACTTGCCGAAATATAAGGCCACGCAAAGTTGATTTTTCGTTTACATTACCCGACCGACCCATTTTTTTTTTTAAAAAAAAATTTTTTTATCTTGCTTTCCCATAATTATCAAATAAGACCGACTGAAAAAAAAGACTGCCAATCCAGGAACATCTGGCACATTGAACCTAGCTGCCGCAACAAAATTTCACGGATGATCCTCGATTTTGATTGGCTAACGGCCGTGATCTACAAAATTTTGGCCCGCATTACATAAT